TGCTTCATGGGACTTCCTTTGGATCTTCAAGAGCCTATCACCCATGTCCCTTTTACTTCTCATTTCTACTCTGAGCAATGGAACTCCCTTTGGGATGATGGGATAAAAAAATTCTAGTAGTCTGGCTGGAGAAACAGCTTTTGGAGTGGGGCCAAGAGGAGGAGACCTTATCAGAATTTCTAGTTCTTAACCAGGACACCTGGGTTGAGAACGGAAGCATGTTCTCAAGCTTGGTTCAACTTCTCACTAGCAATATGGCCTAGGACAGGTCTCTTCCCCTCTCTGAACCTCAGTTTCATCATCTCTAAAGTGGGGATAATGAGATTTGCTGTTTGTCACCCAAGCTGATGTTGTTTAGTTACTGAAATGGAAACCAAACTTACGGCTCTGGCCACCCACGCTGAGATTTGAGATAAACTGGGGCAAAGGGCTGATGAGGTGGAGGAGCCAAGGCCAGAGGAATTTATGGCAGCCCAGCGTTTATGGTTTTGATATGGATTTATTAAGTACACTCTAGGACTTGAATAACCTCCTCTGGCCTCCACCCCTATGTCCATGTTGGCGGCAGCAGGGACAGAGCCTCCATTGCAACATTATGGAAAACATTTCCTGGTGCTGATGAGCTGAGTGGGGATGGGAATGGATCAGGCAGGAAGCTAATGGGTGCTCTTGAGGCTGGAGAACTTCATGGTCAGCCTCTCACATTCACTGAGTCTTGGTAAGTGCAGGGAATGGTGGTGCTACTTTGTGTCTGTCATATAGTTAATATTATGTCATCAATTTCATCCTGACAACAGTCTTGAGGAAGGTATCATCCCCATTTTACAGATGAGGCTGGGAAAAGTGGAGTGACTTGCCCAAGGTTATCGATCTCCAAGACTCCCAGACCAGAACTGTTGTCTCCTCTCTTTGGGAAGAGCTTAAAAGCCATCCTGCCTATCTTTACCTCTGAATGTCACCAAATCTAGAATACTGGAGGCAAGGTGTCCCACACGAGATGTCCCACAGTCTAATCATCAGCTAGCTTCCGTGTGCTGGTGAATGCGTCGGGAGCAAGTGCTGAGTGGTGTAAATGCTCCCACCACTGCTATTGACATGACATCACTAGACAAAGAATCGGGAAGAAAACTCAGCAGCCAGCTCCAGCACACCACCAAATGAAAGCAAGTTTCTTGTGACCTCTGATGCCCAAGGCCCAACGCCACCCATGTACTTAGTTTTGCAGGGAGAAGGACCAAAGTGACAACAGATACGGGGAGATTTTTTTTTTAAATTACACTTGCTTTTCTGACATCTCTTGCTAACTTGTTTGGTACTTGTTAGCAGGTAACATAGTTGCCCCAGGTCTCTGGAGGTGACCCAGTGCAAGGCTCCATCTTAGGCTCTGATGGTGACTATCCAATCCTTGAGCCCTCTTGTCATTCTCCCAGATGTATTCATCACCCTCTCCCCAAATGAATTCCTCTTCAGGAAGGAGGATTAACAACCATGCAGAGTTTTAGAATCAAAGAGACCAGGGTTAGATTCCCACCAATTCCTTTCAAGGAAAAGAACTTCACCTAAGCCCCAGTTTCCACATATATAAAGTGAGGACAAATAAAATGGTCTAAGTTGCTTACCTCTTGATGTGAACATTAAAAAACAATAATGGATATGAAAGTATTCTTCTATTGTTGCACTGTAAAGGAGTTTATGACTAGTTTATTCTTATTTCTAACACCTGAAATGAAGAGAAGACACTGATCCAAGAAGTTAGAAAACATACATGCCATTTATTATTTTTTTAATAAACTTCTCTGTTAAAACACACAAGAATAAGAAATGTTTTTTGCTTCTTTGCCCCATGGGGTGGCAGTGAGGTGGGCTTTAGGGGTCAGTATGGAACCTGATGACAGTTATACCCACAGGAAGATGCTGATTGGTCTGATGGGCCCCTCCAGCTTGTTGTGAGTTTCACATCCAATCAGGACAGACCACAGAACAATTTGGCACAGGCAATTGGTTTGGCCATTAGAAAAATCAAGGCATGTCCATGTCTGATTCTTTTCTTTATCCACTCACAGGAAAGCTTTGTGGATTCTGCAGCTCCCTGAGAGCTTCCTGGAGATGGGGGGGGGGGGTGTCTCAGTGGAAGCATTGTGAGGCCCATATTGGAACCCCCCCAACCCTTTTTGAGTCCACAAGGCAGAAAGAGGAGGTATGGGGTAAAGGACTGGGCTCCCTGCTTCAGAAGGTTGTAGTCTCAGAAGGGCACTGTTACTCCATGGAAAATTCTCATCTCAACGTTGACAGAGATCTGAACGATACTTGGGGGTGAAGGGATAACGAGTGGAAATGATGAGGAGTCCAGCTTCCCAGCCTTGCACCAGACCAGTCTGAGCCCCTCTGGCTGGGATTTCTGGAGAACCAGAGTGAGGGGTAACTGAAGAAAATCGAGAGCCTTGAGAAGGGAACAGTCTCTCCCAGGATTGAGGACCTGTCTTAGTGGAGTGAAGAAAGCCAATCTTGACAGCACAGGGGTGTAGGGAAATTTCTCTTCGACACACTACCCCCAAAACTCTCCATGCCTCTTTCTCACAAAGGAATCATTACAAATGCAGAATTTCTGGACACTCAGGTTACTCCTCTACCCAAGCAGGCCAGCCCTGGGTGGAGGTAGGTAGCCATTTTCTACCTCATCATATCTCTAGTCCCAAGATATATCTTCTATTCCCACTGGCCTGAAATCACCAAGATTCTGCACGGGGGAGGTGCTGGCTGTTCCTTTCTGAGATTTAGTGTTTCCAGGAAGCACTCTGAGTGATGCGCCCCAGGGCAGGTTTCTCACTCTTCACATGACCCCCATCTCCATCTTCCTGCCCCATCCTCATTTCCATGGTCCCATCCTAGCCTTACCAGAGCAGATTGGTCCATCTCCAGGAACAAGCCCAAATTTGGAGACAGAAGAGTTAAAATGGGGCCACCAGTCATGAATTCTCCTTCATGTTTGTCAGCAAACAGAATTCTGGATGCTAAATCAATTTTGGCACAGCCACAGACCAATCTCAGTGTTAGGATGAGTCAGGGCTCCTGGAAGGAATGAGATTGGCTTTTGAGGTTGGTGAAGGGGGCAGAAAGTCTCTCAACTTGAACACAACAAGGCAAAAAGCCACCATGGTTAAGCACTTCCGGTCTGATGCTGGCAGATTACCTGGGCTCCAGGGCTGACTCTGTCACTTACTAACAGTGTCAGTACTAGAACAACAACAACAAAAGTCACTAATTTCTTGGAACTCAAGTTCATCTTCTGTAGTGCTCTCTGGGTAATTGTGAAGATAAATGAGGTGATGCATGTCAAGTGCCTTCAGACAGTGCCTGGCTCCAAGGGACAATTCCTCCTTCTATCTCTCTGACCTGAAAGGGGTCTCCATTCCATCCTCCCTATGCTGGATTACATCATGGCCCCTAACCTAATGTGTCTGTCCCTCAGGTCTCATAACTCTCTCTGGATTACACCATGGCCCCAAATCACCTCTCTGCATCTTTGAACTTGGCAAACTCTGTTGTTGTTGTTAGGTGCTGTTGAGTTGGCTCTCACTCATGGTAGGTGACCTTACATATGACAGAATAAAACATTACCTGGTCTTGTGCCATCCTCAAGATCGTTGGTCGGTGTGTTTGAATGCACTACTAAGCTCTATGCTGGTGATAATCGTGGTAGTAGCCGGGGTGGGGTGGGGGTGGGGTGGCGTGGGGTAGGGGTGGTGTACTGTGAGTCGATTTTGACTCACAGCGACCCTGTATAGGGTTTTCAGTCTTTATGGGAGCAGAAAGCCTCATCTTTGTCCTGTGGAACACCTGGTGGACCTTGCGATTAGCAGCCCAAAGCATAACCCACGGCACTACCAGGGTTCGTTACTAGCCTCTATGTTGTTGTTGTTGTTAAGTGCCGTCGAGTCACTTCACTAACCTCTGTAGGACTAATGTACTCATCTTAAGCTACCCATGGCCTAGGAAACCAAGTCTAAAGGTCTCAGTCTGGCATTCAAGACCCCCATGCTTTCTATCTCAAGTCTTTTCTGCTCCAGACAGCCAGGTCTCTATCACCTTCCTCCCACATCATTCTTCTGACCTCCAGCGTTTGCCCAGGCTGTTTCCCCTCATGTGGAATGTCCTGTCTCACCAGCTCCCCAACCCTAACCCTCCCCTCTCTTCAAGGCCTTGAGTACAGTCTGCCTCTCTCAGGATGATTTCTCTGACGCTCGCTCCAGCTCTCCCTCCCAGTTTATTTTGTAGTCGTCAGCCTTGGATGGTTGTCTCATTGAAAACCTACCATCGTAATTCCAACACTCACCCAAGTCCTTATACTCTGCTGCCTGGCCCCATTCAGTATTTTAAAACATTCCTGGAATAATAGGGGGAATGGATTAGGGGTCTTCCTCAGCCTCTGGAGAGGTGGTTTCAGAAAAAATTAGGATCCTTGGGTGGTGCAAACAGTTAATGTGTTCAGTTGCTAACTGAAAAATTGAAGGTTCAAATCAACCCAGATGTATCTTGGAAGAAAAACCTGGTAATCTATTTCTGAAAAATCAGACATTGAGAAGTCTGGGGGGCATAGTTCTACTCCAGTCATGGAGATTGCCATGAGTCAGAATCAGCTAGATAGCAACTGGTTTTGTACTGGTTAAGGAAGTGACAGTGGAAAGGCGGAGCGTTTGAGGTTGGGGTGGCAGAATTGGGAGAGGTAAGGTGCCACAATCTGACCCATCCTCAAAGGGCTCTGGACACTGACCAGTACTAGTCGAGGCTGAAGGAGGAGGGAGCTATGTTTAAGGAAGGTTCCATATTGTCTCCAGACAGTTGTCCTTTAGGGTTAAGAAGTTGGGGTGATATGGATGCAGGTGAAGGCAGTGGCTTCGGCATGAGAAAAGTTGTCCATGGCAGCTGAGGACTTTCAAGCCAGGGTCTCCCCAAGTCAAAGCCCCATCCTCCAGAGCAGGGGATGAAGGAAGGGTGGCGATGGACCCTTTGCCCTTTCTGTTACTGCTCTGGGACTGGTCCTGTTGTCATGCCTTTCTTGGCTGTCATCACATGATCACCAGGTGCTCCTAAAGACGGTTAGGAGGAGCCAGCATAGCCCGCGACCCCCAATGACTTGCTAGATGACTTCCTGCTTGGTGATGGTTGGCTGGGGGATGGACGAAGGTGGCTTGACAATCGTGGCGATGGCTCCCGGTAGGAGCTTGTAGGGCTCAGACCCTGAGCCTCCTGGAGGTGAGGGCTGAGGAGTCTCAGGGGTGGCTGGAAGGACAAAGAGACAAGGACTGTCAGAATTCCAGTCCTTTGGGGATGTAAATGAAGAGTCCTAAGAGAGTTATTCCCCCTCTCTGAGACTTAGTTTCCTCATCTATAGGATAAGAGATTACAAGTACTTAACTCCTAAAATCTCCCACCACTCAAACTTTCTATGAGTCCCAGATTACAGACATTTCACAAGGTATGGAAAGCTGTGATTGGGACAGTTCTGTTGCGAGAGACATCTGTCTAGGCCTTACCAATCTTCATGCCCTCCGCTATCTGAAATAAAGACGTGCGTGCTTCTCCCCACCCAAGACTCAAGTTTGACTCTCTCCAAGAGCAATAGACATGTGACAAGGATACCCTTTCTTTAGAAAAGGAACAGCAATAAATGAGACCCAAGGGTCTGGCTAACTGACTCTGATAAGATAATTTCTTTGGTATTTAAGAGATTAACAACAGAAATTACCCCATTAGAGAGTAACTTTCATCTAAGCATCCAACTTCACCTCAGTGGACAACATTATCCCAAAGACAACATCATTCAATGGACAGACAGCTTTCTCAAAGAACACTCTTAATGAATTAAAACCTTATTTCAGTGGACCACTTCATCCCAGTGATAATCTTACTCTTTGAACAACTTTACCCATTGATAAACTCACTCTTCTGAGATTTCACTTAACAGAACAACAGTCTAGCCCAGTGTAGATCCTCACACAATGGACAATCTCACCCAGTGGTCTAATAGATAGCCTTGTCCAAATGGGCAACCTTACTTCAATGAACACTTGTATCTCATGGACATTATCTCCTAATGGAATTCTCATCCAGTGAGTATTCCCACCCAATAGCAACATTACCAGTGGGTTGCCTCATCCCAAAGACAGTGTCCTTCAGTAGAGACTGCAAGTTACCTCAATAGGCAACCTCACTGGATAATCAGCCTCAACAAATGGGTGACTTCATCCCTCATTCCCTACACTGGAGCACAGAGAATTGATGTATCCTGTTTTGCTCCTTTTAGACCCAAACTTCTCCTGCCTTCTTTCTCAGGCACCATCCTCACCCCTTGCTGAGTAGACCCCCAGATTGCCCACCTGCCTGCCCCCTGGGACGGGGCCACTCACACATCTGTCCATTGCTGAGATGAGCAGGCATTGTGTTGGCCACAATGACATTGGTGCCCATGTGTTCCTGCATCAGGTGAGGGTGCAGGGGGTGGTGAGCATGGGGTGCATCACTGGAGGACCCTGCAGGTAGAGAGAGGGTTCAATTAGAATGGAGGATCTGGGATGAGAACCATAGAGCTTAAGCCATCATTTTCCGCAGGCATGGCCTATCAACCTGCTCACCCATCATCCACAGTGCTTCTTCTTGTTGTTGTTGTAAAGTGCTGTTGAGTCGGTTCTGACTCGTAGCAACCCTCTATAGAGTTTCTGAGGCGTGGTTGGTGAGTTTGAACTGCTGAGCTTGCCGTCCAGTGCTCACCTTACAGCACCACATCAGGACTGTTGGGTGCTTATTTCTGGATAAGTAAACTGGGGCTTACCATTCCTATCCATAGAGAAGATTCCAAAAACCAAGAGAGCAAAAGGAAAAATCAATATTTAAGGAAGATTTGAGATGCTTAAATATGGTGGCGGTGTGCTGTGGAGTTGGTTCCAACTCATAACGACCCTATATAGGGTTTTCGAGGGGCGGCTGGTGAGCTTGACCCACTGACTTTGCAGTTCAAAGTGACCTTAGAGTCCAGCATATTAACCCACAGTGCCACATAAGGCCTAGATGAAAGTATCTTGTAACAGAACTGTCCCAATCCCTGTTAAGCTTTCTGCTTCCTCAAAGATTCAAAAAGCATCAGAAACCTTATACAGGGTCCTATGAGTTGGAACTGACTCAACACCCCTTAACAACAACAACTGATTGCCTAATACTTTAATGGATTTAATCAATGACTCTCAAAGCTCCTTGGCCTCCCAGGCCTTCAACCATTTGGCCCCAAGTAACCTTTCAGCTTCTCACACCTCTGATCCAGTCACATGGCCCTTCTTAGAGCAGCTATGTGTGCCCTTTCTCTCCTACCTTTAGGCCCTGGTTCATGCTATTGACTTCATTAGAGATCCCTTCCCTAGCCCCACCCCCACCCCAATCCTAGTTCAAATTCCAACTCAGATATTTTCTCTTGACTCTCCCCACTCCTGTAGGAAGTAAATTTCTTTCTTTTGAATTTCCAAGTTTACATGTAATTTATCTGAGGAGGCAAGTCACTCACCTTCCTATGGGAATTACATCTAGGTGTAATTTTTCTTTTTTCCTTGAAGTCTAGTAAAGTGTCTGGAATCCAGTAACTGCTCAAAAACATGTGTCTGGGTATAATAATACCATATAGGGTGTGACTTGGTCTCAGGCTGTGTTCACACACAAATATGACAATGACAGTACTGAAACTTTAGGCCTGGCAGATGGCTCAAGAGTACATCTGCTTCAACAACAGCTAACAACTATTGAACACCAATCACGTGCTGGCACAGTTTTATAGAGTTTTTTGTGTTGGTAGCATAGTGGTTACAAGTTTGGCTGCTAACCTTAAGGTCAGCAGTTCGAAACTACCAGCTGTTCCATGGGAGAAAGAAGAGGCTTTCTGTTCCTATAAAGATTTATAGCCACAGAAATCCTATGCAGGTTCACTGTGAGTCACAACCGACTTCACAGCCCACGACCACCATCACCGTCTTTACAGCATCCTTATAGAGCAGATACCATTATTGTCCCATTTTACAGGTGAGGTAGCTTGGCCCTAAGAGATTAATTTTCTTGCCTAAATTTATCTGGCAGCAGAGCACAGTTCCTAACCCTAATCCCAATGGCAATTGAGTCCTAGTAACCCCGTACTCACAAGGCTGAAGTGAGAATGCAAAATGAATTATGTGGCACTCTACCAGTGCCTATTTTGCCCCCTCAGTGCATACTTGGTAATGTCTAGAGACATTTTTGTCTGTCGCTGTTGGCAGTGGGGGAGTGCAGGAAGATGCTAGCTACTAGCATTTAACGGATGGAGACCAGAAATGCTGCTAAACATCTTACAGTGCCATAACAATTCCCACAGCAAAGAATTGTTGTTTTAGGTGTGTTGAGTTGGTTCTGACTTTTGTACAACAGAACAAAACACTGCCCAGTTCTAAGCCATCAGCAGCAAAGAATTATCTAGCCCATTGCCATGCAGTCCCTTCTGATTCATAGCAACCTGATAAAACATGTAGAACTGCCCTCATGGGGTTTCCAAAACTGCTAATCTTTATGGAAACAGACTGCCACATCTTTCTCCCATGGAACAGCTGGTGGGTTTGAACTGCTGACCTTTGGGTTGGCAGCCAAGTACTCAACCACTGTGCTACCAAGGCTTCTAAAGGTGCTTTGGAGCCTGTAAAATGCTGATACATGTTGGTTTCGCTGTGGCACCCACAGGGAGTAAAGTTTGAGTTGCACTTCCCAAACATCAATGCTAATAGATGGCAGTTGAGATCTTTGGGAACCTTCCAGAGGGATTTCTCTCATTGAGTTTCTGGGGGAACAGAAACTACTTGGCTAGACCACACCCACTCTTGAGGTGGAAGTCAGGGGTCATGCCCTTTCTACTTCCTGTTCATCCTCATTCAAATTGCTGTGGTGTGTCCAGGTGCTCAAAGACATTTTGATGAGAATGGGGAAGTAGGTGGGGCTCAAAGCATGTCCAAATTCCGGGCCCAAAGGGAACCAAAGAGAGTGAAGTCTCATTCTGTCAATACTGACATTCCTGTTCCATGAGGAGAACTTGGGCACCAAGTGGCAGCAAGATTATCCAGGTACTCAGCTCATACACCTGGGCACAGTCCTTAACTCTTCTTCCTACCCCCTCATTACCAAACCCTGTTGCTTATTTCTCCTTAAATCTCCAGTCTTCCTACTTCTTTGCCAATGAAGTGGTCAAACATTATTGCCTCAGAGAGGCTCTGTCTCCGAGACATTTAACCCGATTTTTTTCCATCAGAGAAGTTACAATCATTGTAATTACATATTCATTGTGTAGGTGATGGTTTGCCCAATTGAGGTTTCAAGAGAGTAGGGGTCTTCCATATCTTGTTCACCAGTAAGCCCCTCTGTGCCTGGCACACTCAATAAACACTGAATGAAGGAAGGTTAGAAGATGAGGTTGAGGTGAGGATTTCTACCTCCTTATTAATATTTCCAAATGTCTCCTCCTCCAGTCCCTTTGATGCTAATGTCATTTGAAGGGACCATTTAAGACTCTACGATAACCCTTACCTTCTACTCAGTCTCTAGCTCACTGTCTTCTTTATCCTTGCTTCTTCTAACTACTTTGAGATGTATGTGGATGATGCACTTGGCCATCTGCCCTCTCAGCATCTTCCTTTATCTTTTCATCTGTCACCTCCACCATCTACTCCCATGGCCATAGCCTAGACCAGTGGTTCTCAACTAAAAGGGATTTTTTTTCACCTTAAAAATCTCGAATTCAAGCATCTTCTCTTTGATTTTACCTCCTGTTCTTCCAGCTCAATTCATCTGGTACCATCACTGCAGAAATTCTTCAAATCTGCTGACTGTCAAGTTACTGACCCAACTTTACACATCTATCACCCCATCTTTATGCCTCTTTTAATTCAGCCTAGTTTCCATGATCCATCATTGTAATCTTTCCCTTGCAATCATCCCAACTCCCTCAGAGTTCCCCCCATAGTAAAATATAGTCAAAGGATTGCCTGGGCTTGCTATCTCTACTTCTTTACCTTCCTACTCAAACACTCATTCACTTTGGAATACTCCCAATCTACTTTCCATCCCTCACACTACCACCACCTTAGCTCAACTTTCCCCAGAACTCTGTTCTTAACAAACTTACTAATAGTCTCTACATTGCCAAATCCAATGGATCTCTCTCTATTTACACTATGAATACTATTAAATGCTTCATCCTTCTTAAAAGACCACACTCTTTGGTTTGTCTTCTATCCTTCTGGCTAGTCTTCCTCAGTCTCCTTCAATGATGCCTCCTTTTCTCCTGCCTCCTGAACATTGGTAAACCATGGAACTGCTTCCAACTCTGAACTTTGAGCTTATGTTTAAGCAACAGATTTAGACGCCCAACTGCCTCCTTGATACTTCGCCTTGGATAGCATCCCAACCCTAACTAAAGGCCATCATGGATCTCTTGGTTCACCCTCACACCATAACCACGGCAGCTCAACTTTCCCCATCACAGTAAATAACTCCACTATCGTGCCTGTCACTGAAAGCAAAGTCCTAGGTGTCATCTTTGATTCCTCTGCCATCTTTCACTTCCCACTTCCAACCAGAAAATCCTGTGGGTTCTTCTTCCAAAATACGCTATCCAACTTATCTGTGCTGTTCCATTTCCACGGTCACACCTCAGTCCAAGCTGCCATCATCTGTCACTTTCTAAGGGTCAGCATTCTAAGTGTCTCCTCCTTCTACTCTTGCCTCCCTAAAATCCATTTCTATCCATCAGTCATAGTGATTTGTTCAAAACTAATGTCTGTCCCTTGCTTTACCATTGCTACAACAATAAAAGCCCAAATTTTTGACAGAAGGCTACAGTCCATATATTGATGATTTAGCTTGTGTCTGATTTCCATCTTCATACAACTTCACTCATCTCACAGTCTTGTCCTTCTCTCTTGACACAAATCTCTCTTGCTCCAGGGCTTTTACACTAGTTATTTCTGCCTGCAATGCTTGCCTCTTGACTTTTAAATAGTCTATATCCTTCCATCTTCAGGTTTTAGTGTAAAAGTCACCCCTTCAGAAAGGTATCCCTTTGGCCAAACTATTCAAACAGGTTCCCTTTCAGTTGCTTTCTATCATGGTGGTGGTTATGCTGTGGAGTTGATTCCGACTCATAGCAACCTTGTACAGGGTTTCCAGGGCTGTAACTCTTTATGGGAGCAGAAAGCTTCATCTTTCTCCTGTGGAACAGCTGGTCGTTTCGAACTGCTGACCTTGAGGTTCACAGCCCGATTCATAACCACTACGCTATTTCAAAATCTGTTTATCATCTACCTTGCTTATTATATGCTTGGTTACTCTCTGTTTCCACCAGCTCTTACACACACACACACACTTTAGGCAGGCAGGCAGAGTTCCCTGCTGAATCTCCAACACTTAGAACAGTGACTGGCAATGTTAGACCCTCAATGCCTGAACAAATGGACCATGTCCCCATTTTCCAAATGAAGAATCAGGGGCTTAGACAGATCAAGTGGCTTGCCCAAGTCCACCCAGTAAGGAAGCAGTGGAGCTGGGAGTGCAGCCTAGGTCTGCATGAAATTGTCTCTTGCCCTTGCGCCTACCTCTCAGCCCCTCCTGGGGCTGGCATGGACCTCCCAGCAGCATCTCCTGCAATAAGTTGTCAATCTTGGCCATGCCAAAGAGCTTGATGAACTGGATCTGTTCGATCATCTGCCAGGTGATGCTCTGCAGCGTGGGCAGCAGTAATAGCAGCTCGCCAAAGCGCCCACGTGAGTCGTACTGGCGGTCATTAATGTAATCCTCCAGGCTCACCTGGACCTGGGAACGCAGCCTCTTGATCTTGCCCGGGTCGCTCAGCCCCTTGGCATCTGCAACAAGAGGAAGTGGGCAAGGGAGGGCAATCAGGCCCAACTGGAGCATCTAGGGAGGCAAGACCCACACCACCCCTGGGGAGTGCCTTCCTGATTCGTGGGGCCTAAGCAGGGGGTGCCTAGTGGTCCAAACTCACATAAGAAGCCCTCAGCTAGGCTGGGATGAGGATGTAGAATCCTCAACTACTTAGGTACAAATTGTGGCTGTCTGCACTCAATGGCAAAAGGTTTCTACCACATTTCCTATCCTGCAGAACTCAGTAATAGGAGCTTGGACTGGAGAGACAGGAAACAGGAACACACCGAAGAGACTACCCAGCAACCTCATTACTTTACACAGGGGGAGACTGAGGCATGGCGAAGAAAAGCACTTGCCCTGGGTCACACAGGCAGTTACTGGCAGATCCTGAAGCAGGTCCTTGGAAGCCCTATTCAGGGTTGCTATGAGTTGGAATCGACTCAACAGCATTTAACAACAACAACTACTACTATTACATGCCAAAGGAACCCAGGTGGCATGGTGGTTAAGTGCTTAACTGTTAACGGAAGGGTCAGCGGTTTGAATCCAGCAACCACTCATCAAGAGAAAGGTATGGCAGTCTTCTTCCTTAACAATTATAGCCTTGGAAAGTCTATGGAGCAGTTCTCCTCTGTCCTGTAGGAACCTACGGAGCCAGAATCAAATAGACAGCAATGTGTGGCTCTACTACATGCCAAGCCCTGAACTAGGCCTTCTGTCAATCCGACAGAGGCTGCTGTCTTTGAGTCAGCATCAGTAACGGTAAGGTAACCAAGCAACTGCTACCTGCCCTGTCCTGCGGGGGAGCCCTGCGGTGAACACAGCTTGGGTCACACTTCCACTGGAACAAGGCTAGAAATCCCATAGACTAGGAGACAGGGAATCACATGGGCTTGAGAGCTAAATAGGCTGAGATTCAAATGAAAGCCCTACTACTTCATGGCTGTGAAAATTTGGACAAGTGAATCAATCTTCTTATGCCTCACTTTTCTTATCTGCAAAGTGGGTATAATGATAGCACCTCCTCACCGGAACTATGTTATGAGTGTAGTTGTTGTTAAGAGCCGTTGAGTCAGTTCCAACTTACAGCAATCCTGTGTAGGGTTTCTGAGTAGCAGCTGGTGAGTCTGAACCACCGACCTTGCAGTTCAGTGCTTATCCTACAGTGTCACACCAGGACTCCATGTTGTAAGTACTAAGAGATAATCCACATAAAGTATTTGGAATGATGTTGTATGAGTGGTCAGTAAATGGTCCCCTTCTGAGTTCTGACTGTTGGAGGTTCAAGTCCACTCAGTAGCATCATAGAAGAAAGTCCTGGCAACTGACTTCTGAAAAATCAGTCACTGAAAACCCTAAGGGATACAGTTCTACTCTGACACACAGGGGGTCACCAGGAGTCGAACTGACTCCGTGGCAGCTGGCTTTAATCATCCCCTCCTTACTAGCATCACTAAGTGACCTCCCTGCAGGCAGGGCTCCAGCACACAGTCAGCTCCTCCTAACACGTATGGAGGGAAGAAAGCACCTTAATGCTATGAAATTAAATTGGGCTTTGCACAAACATAACAACAGCATTAGTAAAAATGCAGATGACCAAAGTCAGTAGATGGAAGAAGAAAGAGTCAAGAATTGAAGGGAATGGTTGTTGTTGTTAAGTGCTGTTGAGTAGGTTCCAACCCATAGTGACCCTGTATAGGGCTTCCAAGGAGTGGTTGGTGAGCTTGAACCGCCGACCTTGCAGTTCATACCATTCACCCTAAGTGCCACAACAGGACTCCAGGGATGTGACTTCACCATCCTGCTAAGTGTAGGTGGGGGTGGGAGGGGAATGGGTGCTCTATAGGATAAGCACTGGACTGGGAACCATAAGGTCAGCAGTTCGAGTCTACCAGCTGTTCCTCAGGAGAAAGATGAGGCTTTGTGCTCCCACCAAGATTTATAACTTCAGAAACCCTATTCAGGATCACTATGATTGGAACCGACTCAAAGGCACTTAACAGCCATAAAGGTAAGTGAGTTAGGAGCTACCAAGCTACCTACTGTCTACAATGGATAGGACATGAATTAAAGGCCTAAGCACACACCTTAAGGCTATGTTGTTGTTGTTGTTAAGTGCCGTTGAGTCGATTCCAACCCATAGACACCCTGTATAGGGTTTCTGAGGAGCGGCTGGTGAGCCTGAACCCTGACCTTGCAGTTCAGCATGTTATTAATCTGCAGCACCACACCAGGACTCCTCATCTATTGACTATTATTGTTGTTGTTGTTAAGTGCCATAGAGTTGGTTCGACCCATAGTGACCCTGTATAGGATTTCTGAGGAACGGCTGATGAGCTTGAACGGCTGACCTCAAGGTTCAGATGACTTTGTAGTCTAGCGCATTAACCCACAGAGCCACACCAGGACTCCATCGGCTATCATCATGGGGGGAGGGGGGGATGGGGGGTGCGGAGTCAGGGAGAACACAGAAAAATGAAAAAAAAATAGCGGTAACTGCCAAAAAAGTTAAAAGAATTAGAGGTGGTTCTCCCTGGGAAAGTGGTTTCCGGCTGGAAAAATAGGGAGGAAGGATCATTTGCAATTTTAAGCATGTATAGATGTTATTTTTTTTGAAGATGAAAGGAAAGTGCCAAAAAAGGAAGCTAGAAGGGAGAGAAGGAAGGGGAGAATAACCCCAGGCCTTTGGAGTTTGTGTGCACTGTCAAGTGTTGACATTCCTCATCTGTTAAATGGGAGTGATAAAAACAACCTCTCCCAGTTGTGGTGGTCATGACATGAGACTGTGAACTCAGTCTGTGTAAGGCAGTAAGAGATGTCTGAGCACCCGTGGGGAGATGGGGGCTGTACCTGGGTCGAAGAAGATGATGGCTTTGAGGCAGGCATACTCATTGTCATCAATCTGCAGCTCCTGGAAGGGCAGTACCAACTCGTCTAGAATGCGCATGGATACTCGGCTCATCTCCGCCAGCTCCGGACAGTGCCGCGGCACGATGTAGTCATTGCCTGAGTGGGTTGGGAGGGACAGGGCATGAATGGCCACTCTTGGGCTTACCACTCTCCCCTACTTTAGGTCTGGATGTGTCCTTTGCAACTGGCAATGTAGCCAGCACCATGGGAGGAGGGCTCCATAGGGACTGTCAGGCCCATTTTCCAGATGAGGAAGCTGAAGGCCAGAACACGGGGGTGAGTTGCCAGAAGTCAACCGACTGGGGCTGGCGGTTGCTTTCTACAACTCCTTTCACACTACCAAGCTCCACTCCTCAAAACAGTTCACAAGACTGATGACAATCAAGGACCATTTGGGAGGAGGCACAAAAGCATAAAAATGAAGGCTCACGTTCTGGAGCTAGACTGCTCAGGTTGAATCCTGGCTCTTTCATTTATAGCTGGGCATATTTGGATAAACATGTGCCTCTGTTTTCTCATCTGGAAGATGGGGATACATCATAGAGCTTACCTTACAGGGCTACTGTATTAAATGAGTTAATGTGTGTAAATTACTTAGAATAATACCTGGTACATATTGCGCCTTACATAAGCATTTAAAAAAATAAATACATGTGCTGTGAGGCACAAGTGACATGCTCCTGCTCTGGCTAGCACATCAGAATGCACGGGTAATTCAGGGATAGCCCTGACTGTTCTGATTGAATGCTATTGTTGCCAGTGCTGAGGAGTTGATTGTTTTTACTCCATGCAACCGAGTAGAACTGCCCCATAGGGTTTCATTGGCAGTAATCTTGGCTGGAGCAGACCGTAGGGTCTTTCTCCCACAGAGACGCTGAGTGCATTCAAACTGGCAACCTTTTAGTTTGCAACTGAGTGTTTCTTAACTGTTGTACCACTAGGCCTCCTTAATTGTCATGCTCCTTGCATCTTAGGGAGGTATCCAGTTGAGAACTAAGTCCTGGAATCCTCCAACTGCAAGCCTGAGGACAGGGCTGCCCCTGATTCTGCTCCCTCAGAACCTGCCTGCCACCCTGGGCATGTGACTGTCTGAGTGTGTCCTCGCAAAGCCCTGGCCAGGGCAGGTGGACTCCTTACCTAGCAGCAGCACATCTTTGAACACCATGGATCGCTTGGTGGCTCCCAGCAACAGGTGTTCACCGGCATGGGCTCTGAGCAGGGCCACCTGGAAGCAAGAAGGGCTAGTGTCTGACATCTGCACCACTGAGAAAGCTGCTGGCCACCCAGTGCCCTGTCAAGTCAGCTTAGTGCTCCCCTCTGCTTCCTGCCCCAGTAATAAAGTGGGCATCATAATACTACTGCCTTCCTCCCTTCACTGACAACCAGGAACCTGAAGAAGATTCAGCAAAGCCCAAGACGAACTCTGGAAAGGGCAAAGACATACAACTCCCGCTGACCCTGCCTTTGGCTTGCTGCACCTCTCAGGACTGGGTTGGTGTGCCTTCAGGAATCTAGAAACAACCTTCTGTGTATATTTCTTTTTTTTTTTTGAGCAGAGATTCAAAGACTTTCATGAGATTCTGGAAAGGGTCTATGACCCCACCCCTCAAAGTTCTGAAACTCCTGCCAATGGACCAGTTATGAAGAATTATAAAAGATGCATAATAAAAACACAGATTCTAAGACCCTCCTACCAGAGATGCTGATTTCTGTAAGCATAGAGTGAGGTCTAGGAATTTGCATTTGACAAGGTTCTCAGTTGGTTCTGCCATGCACTTGTGTTTGGGAAATCATAGGTCCAGATAATCTCCAGGGCATCTGCCATTTGTCATTGTAGGATTCATAGAGTATTACAAAAATTTGGAAGTGGTTATTGGTCTTAGGGATGGTCCTTCCCAAGAAGGTCATTGGCAGGGGTCAGCTTGCTAGAGACCCCTTCCCTGCAAGGAGGACAAGGCAGCCTGTGAAGACTGAACTCCAAGTCTGGGGGCCCAGCTAATTCACAGGACATCAGCTGCCTCTTCAGAACCATCTGCTTTAGTGTTTGCATGAAGACCAAAGGATGGGTTGGTCAACAGTTGTAGCAGGCTGGTAGCCTCAAGGATCTTATCTGCAAGGCTAGATTAAGGAACTCAGAGGTGTTTTTAAGTAGGAAAAACTAGACGGCGAAAGATTTTTGTTTATTCATTTAATTGTTCATTCTTTCAGCCATCAAATGTTAGGTGCCTAATAAGAGAGACTAAGTCATAGGTCTGCAGCTTCATAGAGCTTACATTCTTTTGGGGGCTGGGGCTGGAACAGATTTAAAGTAGAAAACAAGAAAATAAATGGGACAAAGGGTCATAGAGCTAAAAAGGCAGGCAGGAATGGAGAGGAGAGGAGAGACGAAGAGAGATGAAGGAGGGGGTAGAAAAGGAGGGAAATGGAAGGAGAGAGGAAGGAAGGAAAGAAGGAAAGGGATGGATGGGGGATGATGTATGAATGAATGGATAGATGAATAGATAGATGAATGGATGATGGATGAATTAATGGATAGATGGATGGATGATGGATGAATTCATGGATACATGAATGGAGGTGTGATGGCTGGATGAATGAATGGACAGATGGAGGGAGGGAGAGGGAAGGGAAGTGGTGTGGTATGGTAGAGGGACTCCGCTAGATGGGGAGGTCAGAGAAAACGTCTAAGGTTTGAAAGATACCTGGCACATAGTAAACCTTCAATAAATGTTTGCTATATAAAAGAATGAATGAATGGGTGAGTGGCTAAATGAATGGACAAATTTCCTGACTTTCTCTCTCCATATCTGGCCCCTCCTGAGCACCTACCTGTCCTTATTCCTTTCATTTCCCCACAGTTAGGATGACAGAAAAACAAGAGGATTAAGAAACTCTTTCCATGACCTGGACGAAGGAAGGTGAAGGATATGGCTGAGTATCTTGTGTGTGTCAGGCTTTACCCTGAGACATTCTCACACTGGAAGGCAGAAGAGTTGGCCTGGAATCCCAGTTCTGTGGTTAACTTGTTCTGTGACTTTGGACAAATCCCTGTCCGTTTCTAGGCCTCAGTTCCCTTGTCCAATCGTACCTACCCTTCTAGGTTTCTAGGGATTGATGTCCAAAACAGACCAACAAGCAAACAAACTTAGAAGTCGATTCTTGGGGCACCATTGACAGACTTGGGGTGTTTTTGGAGGACAATGCTCCTGTTCCCCACTTATCCCAGGCAAGGTAGCTTCCTTCTGGTCCAAGAGCATAGAGCTGGGAGTCTCCTGGTCCCAGATTCAACCCCCTGACATGGCGACTATTCTGGGAGTGGGCAGGCAGGTGGGGGGATTAATGATTGTCCCATATTATTGGCCACCCCTCACTGATCTCTAAGAATGCTCTGAGCCTCAGCCAGGGAGGTTTGGGTGGGAAATGGAGGTTAACAATTGTTCAGTTGGGGGGGTGGTATCTTGTTGCCCTGTTAAGCCCCTGGTAAGGAACAGAAAGGATTAAACATTAATGTAGATCCTCCAGCAGAGGGGACCGGGGCCAGAGCATGAACAACAGGGGTGAGGGCAGGGGCAACTTGGCTCAAATCTCTATCCTGCCATTTCTCCTAAAGGGAGAGGAATTCATGCAAGAGGGCTTGGAACCCCCCTGTGTGAGGCTGAGGATCAGCCAGCTAGCGTTCGCACAGTCTGTCCCACCGTGGGATATTACGAGATGTTCCAGGAGTTTGGGAAGTCCTGGGTTTCTTGAAGGTTAATAGCTGCCTGGAGTGTGAGACTTCTCAGAAACTTGAATATGCTGACATGCACTGTAAGTCTCCTGTGCAAACTATAGAAGCAAACAGACCAGGAGCTGGTTTCTGGGCTGCACATTCTTAGGTGGCCGTGAGCTGCAAGGCGATCCCACAGAGGGAATGGCTGCAGAGGTCTAGTGGCTGCCTTGTGTAGGAACTATCACATCCAGAAACTCAGAAATTCATCTGTCTTCAGATTCCCCTTTTTCCCCTGAGACATTCTGGTATTCCAATGAATACATTTTGGAAATAAAATGTAGAGTTGAACCATGTTGTTGGGATGCAAGAAAAGAAGCTAACATTAAGGGTGGCCGGTGATGTCCAGGCCCCATGTAGCCACCCCATCACAGGTTGTTGTGATTTTCAAATAGAAATGGTCTCCGTTCTCTCAACAATAATCCGAAGGGGACAGTACCATCCTCACTTGACAGATTAGCAAACTGAGACTCGAAAGCAGATGCACTTTGTCTAAGATCACACAGTCTTAAAGCCAAGGCTCAAGCTCAGATCTCCTGACCTCTGTCCCTAGGAGAGCTGCATGGTGAAGTGGTGAGGAGGCTGGACTTTGGATAGGTTCTGCCTGAGTTCTAATCCCAGTTTTGCAGGACAGTAGCTGTGCAGCCTCAAGTGAGTTACTTAACCTCTCTGTGTCCCAGTTTCCTCACCTATGCTTTAGTGATGATAATAGTGCCTACATCATAAAGTTGTTGGTGGGATTAAATGAGTTAACATTTGCAAAACGGTAGAAACAGCTCCAAGAATACTCTGCATGTTTTACAAATAAGATCACATCAGCCCCCATGGCTATACCCAAGGTGTGCCTCTCCCCTACCTGGTCATCCAGGGGGAGCTCGCAGAAAGCCGGGATGTACTTGGCCCACTCAACAAGCACCAGCAGCTGCTCCTTCATGGACTCACACACGTCTGCGATGCTGGCGATTTTCTTAGCCCGGATGTCACCGTTGATCCCAGAGACAGGGGAGGTGATCTGGGGAAAACAAAAGAAAATGTTGAGGATGGCCGACTTCTCCCCACATTCTCTGTCTGTTGCACAGTATGCCCCTATGTCTGAAAAAGGGGTTCCTGAATTGTGGGCGCCTTCCCAGCTCTGAAGGAAGCTCAGGGCTGAACAGGCAGAAGACGGCATGCTGAGGAGGCAGATGCCATGGGCGAGGGCTTCCTCTGCTCCCTGCAACCCCCCTTAAACTCCTAGGAACCTAATGGTCCCAGGGGAGAAGCAGGGCAAACATCATCCTCATCTGACAGATGAAGAAATGCAGCCCAGAGATTGACTGTGACTTGTCCAAGGTCACACAGTGAGAGGTGTCTGAGCCTCTCTGTCCATTGCTGTCAGTGCTAAGCTGATCTCAGGCCCTCAGTGAGAGCTGCCTCCATTTGGTCTGCAAATGCAGGCAGCAGGATGAACTAGAAAGTGCCCCAGGGCACCAGACCCAGGTTCGAGTCCTACCTTTCCTACAAAACAGGCTGTGAGACACTGGTTTCCCTTCTAGATATCTGAGGACCCTTCTACCTGACCTGGCTGGGGAGAGAGACCAAGGATGGAGAGTGTGTGGTCGGGGGGAGCTTGAACAGGTGGAGGGGCCCCTTGCTGGGAGGGAGGTCATCTCAGTACCTGCTGAGACAGGACTTCAGCTTGCAGAAGCGCATTGATGGAGGGCAGGCTGCTGTCTTCGTAGCTTGACCTGCGCGTGCTGATCCGGTCCCGTTCGTTCTGAACAGCTGTGAGGAGATAGAGCAGTGAGGAGAGACTAGGGGACATGGGTCACATGACTCACAAGCAGAGTGGGTGAGATGCCAGGGGGGAAAGCTCAACCCATTAAGATACTGCAAGCCTGTCCTGGGGTTGGATTGGTCTTGAGATTAGATGTAGACCAGCACATGGGAAAATGCTGTCTAGCTTGGCTTATGGAAGAAGTTTCCAGACACCCCTTGGTGCCTGCCCTCAACACACACACATATACACATCATACTGGGGCTGCGGTACGAGTAAGCCACCATTGTGCGAGGCATGCAAAAGAATGATGGCTTAGCAGGGGACTTAATGTGGGTCTTGAGCATTGAAGAGGAGGAAATCCAACTATATCATAGGTTTCTAAACTCTGCTTCAGAAAAGGGTCCCTTTTTTCCCAGATAAAACTGTGTAGAACAAGTAAAATTAATTACTCAGGGTGACACCAAGATGGCTCAGAGCACTGGGTCAGAGGGGACTGAGGGGTCCCCACCTCAGGTTCCATCTAGTAGCAGCTGCTGTCTCATAGACAGCAAAGCAAAGATCTTCCCCTCCTCCCCACCTCTGGGCTCTTACCCAGGAGCAAAGGGATCTGAGATCTCTGACCACTAGGGCCCCACACCTCACTGTCTGCTCCCATCCAGGCCAGTCCTGACCGAAGATGTCACATGGACCTTCTGCTGCCCAGACCCCTCGTCATCCAAGAGGTCTCACTGTGCAAGGAGGCTTTGCTGAAACTGGAAGGTGGGAGGGAGCCTCAGGAGACCTAGGCTCCTGTCCTGAATTCACTCTTTGTGTGCTTGTGGAAACCATATCCTCTCGCTGGGCCTCAGTTTCCCCATCTCTAACACTCATGTTTCCCTCCCAAACCTGGCCCTCTGCAGTCTTTCCCATCCCTCTGACCAGAAATCCGGGCGTCTTCCTGGACAACTCTTTCTCTCACACCCTACACTTCAGCTCCACCAGCAAATGCTATCAGGAATTCCAAAAAAGAGACCCACAGCTGGTAATTCCCCTGCTCCCACCCTATGTGGGGCAGACCTTCCTCACTGGCCTCAAAAGACAGAAAAATCAAACCAAGCCAGTTGCCATCAAGTGGATTTTGATTCATGGTGCCCCCATATGTGTTTCAGAGTAGAACTATGATCCACAGGGGTTTCAATGGCTGATTTTTGGGAAGTAGATTGCCAGGTCTTTCTTCCGATGTGCCCTGGGGTAGACTAAAGTCTCCTATTTTTCAGTTAGCAATTGATGGTGTTAACTGTTTGCTCCACCTAGGGACTCCCAGATGAGGCAAGAATCTTGTTAAAACAAACCTCAGTTGGTGTCCCTTATTGTTGTTGTTAAGGGTCGTCGAGTCAGTTCTGACCCATAGAGACCCTGTATAGGGTTTCCGAGGAGCAGCTGGTGAGCTTGAACCGCCGACCTTGCAGTTCAAATGACTTTGCAGTCTGGCGCATTAGCCTACAGCGCCACACCAGGACTCCAAGTGGAGTAAACTCACAACTCCTCATTACAGCAACAAGTCCCTAAGATCCTGCCCGGCTTCCTCTTGGATTTCACCTTTTATGTACCCCCTTTACTTCCTCTGCTCTAGCCACACCAGCCTCCCTGCTCTTCCTGCAGGTATCATAGCGGTGCTCAGCTGCTAACTGAAAAGTTGTCAATTTGAACCTACCCAGCCGCTCCACGAGAGAAAGATCTGGAAATCTGTGCTCATAAAGATAACAGCCTAAAAAGTCCCTATGAAGGAGTTCTCTGTCACATGGGTCGCTCTGAGTGGTAAATGGCACCTACCAACAATAACAGATCTTCTGATAACTCAGGCACACTCCCACTCAGGGTCTTCTACCTGTGGTGCTGCAAGATAACTGGACCACAAGGAGGGTTTGAACCACCGACCCTGCAGAAACCCTATACAGGGTCGCTAAGGTTGGAACCAACTCAACGACACTTAACAATAACAACCTTCCCACTGCCTGAAATTCTTTCTTATATTACTTAGCTTCCCCACTTCACTCTCATCTTTGGCACAGCCATCACCTTCTCCAAGAAATCCCTGTCTAGATGGCATTTCCTCCCTCATGCCGTGTCCCCTTATCCTGCTATATTTTTTGCCTTGGCACTTAATGGAGACATGTTTACTTGTTTGTTTACAGTCTGTCTATGAGAAGGAAAAGTCCCAGAAAGCAGGAACCTCATCCCTCTTGTTGATGGATATAGCCCAAGAGTCTTGAACAGTGTCTGGCACACAGTAGGTGCTCAGTAAATATTTGTTGAGAGAAAGAAAGAAGAAGTTGGCTGAGACAAGTTCTAATTCTTACAAGCATCCTATTTCTTAAGGGGACATTGGCTTTCCAACACTTCAGTTTTCCCTTAATTTCACATGTAGCTCCTGGGTATTTCACACAGAAGTTCAGGAGTCAGTGGGGTTTAATAGGGAACCCACATCCCTACTTTCTGAGGACCGCCTCACTTCTCTGGACAGGCCAGCTCACCGCACAGTTCCTCATCCCTGTTGGCACTTGGCTCTGCCTGCCAACAGCCTCCCATGGCTGCTGGGCCTGCCAGGCTGCCCGCACCCACCGGGCGCCAATGGCAGAGGCCGGCAGAATAAAAGGGCTGCAGTCAGCAGCTGCAGAGAGGGCTCTTCAAGGTTAGGCCGGCGTTATCAGCGCCCGGCGCGAGCTCAGTCACGGAATGATGTTTTCCAAATGTTTGCTCAGTATTAGCAGGGTCGGGGACCTAATGTAACTTCTATTGAATATTAACCAATGGGGCAGAGGCAGAGAGGAGGATGAGCTTGTCTTCCCAGAGAACCCCTGGTGGATGCCTGGTGGGGGCAGGGCCGGGGTTCGAGGCAACCCCAGCTCCATCACCAACAGCACCTCCCCAGGCCCCTGGCCCTGCTTCCGGGGCTGAGTTTCAGACATCAGGATTCAGCATTTTTCCGGAGCGTGAGGGCTGAAGCCCAGGCAGGTGCCTGTCTCTCCATGACTTCACCTACAGCTGGGTGAGGAAGTTTCAGGAATCTAGACCAAAGAAACTTCCTAAGCAGATCATTCCCAGTTTCAATCCAGACACTTGGGTGTCTGTTTAGCTCTGGGGAACCTGGGTTCTAATACTGGCTTATCACCTTTCTGGTCTTGGGAAGGAAAAAGATTTGATGGCTTCACATAGGCCTGACTTATTTATAACCCTACATTTCACAGTGTCTTGCCCTCAAAGACTGCTTTTGGGTCCTCAAATCCTACTAAAACTATCAAGGAAGAGAAATAATTAAAAAAAAAAAAAAAGTACAGCCAGAATGCTTCTTACAAGGATGGCAAGACTTTGTCTCTCATTAAAAATATAACAACATGAGAGAGAGAGAATAACTGGGTCCAATTCTCCAGTTCATTGAGAATTTCTCATGGCTTTGGGAACTTCCCGTCAGGCTAAGAAGGGATGGTTGAGGCTATAAGACTGAGGTGAAACCAGTTGCTTTTGGGTTGGTTCTGATTCATGCTGACCTATAGACTTTTCAATGGGTAATTTTCAGAGGTAGATCAGCAGATCTTTCTTTCCAGGTGTCTATGGAAGGACTTGAATATCTATCTAACATTTTGGTTAGCAGCTAAGTGCATTAACCATTTACACTACCCAGAGGCTCCATAAGACATTGTTGTTAAGTGCCATCCACTTGGTTCCGACCCATAGCAACCCTGTATAGGGTTTCCAAGGAGCGACTGGTGAGCTTGAACCACTGAACTTGCAAATCGAACAGACTTTACAGTCTAGCGCATTAGCTCACAGAGCCACACCAGGACACCTCCATAAGACATAGGTTGTTGTTGTAATGTGCCGTGGAGTCGGTATGGACTCATAGTGAGCCTGTGCAGGATTTCCGAGGCTGTAAATCTTTACGGGAGCAGAATGCCACATCTTTCTCCCATGGAACAGCTGGTGGGTTTGAACTGCTGACCTTTGGGTTGGCAGCCAAGTACTCAACCACTGTGCTACCAAGGCTTCTAAAGGTGCTTTGGAGCCTGTAAAATGCTGATACATGTTGGTTTCGCTGTGGCACCCACAGGGAGTAAAGTTTGAGTTGCACTTCCCAAACATCAATGCTAATAGATGGCAGTTGAGATCTTTGGGAACCTTCCAGAGGGATTTCTCTCATTGAGTTTCTGGGGGAACAGAAACTACTTGGCTAGACCACACCCACTCTTGAGGTGGAAGTCAGGGGTCATGCCCTTTCTACTTCCTGTTCATCCTCATTCAAATTGCTGTGGTGTGTCCAGGTGCTCAAAGACATTTTGATGAGAATGGGGAAGTAGGTGGGGCTCAAAGCATGTCCAAATTCCGGGCCCAAAGGGAACCAAAGAGAGTGAAGTCTCATTCTGTCAATACTGACATTCCTGTTCCATGAGGAGAACTTGGGCACCAAGTGGCAGCAAGATTATCCAGGTACTCAGCTCATACACCTGGGCACAGTCCTTAACTCTTCTTCCTACCCCCTCATTACCAAACCCTGTTGCTTATTTCTCCTTAAATCTCCAGTCTTCCTACTTCTTTGCCAATGAAGTGGTCAAACATTATTGCCTCAGAGAGGCTCTGTCTCCGAGACATTTAACCCGATTTTTTTCCATCAGAGAAGTTACAATCATTGTAATTACATATTCATTGTGTAGGTGATGGTTTGCCCAATTGAGGTTTCAAGAGAGTAGGGGTCTTCCATATCTTGTTCACCAGTAAGCCCCTCTGTGCCTGGCACACTCAATAAACACTGAATGAAGGAAGGTTAGAAGATGAGGTTGAGGTGAGGATTTCTACCTCCTTATTAATATTTCCAAATGTCTCCTCCTCCAGTCCCTTTGATGCTAATGTCATTTGAAGGGACCATTTAAGACTCTACGATAACCCTTACCTTCTACTCAGTCTCTAGCTCACTGTCTTCTTTATCCTTGCTTCTTCTAACTACTTTGAGATGTATGTGGATGATGCACTTGGCCATCTGCCCTCTCAGCATCTTCCTTTATCTTTTCATCTGTCACCTCCACCGTCTACTCCCATGGCCATAGCCTAGACCAGTGGTTCTCAACTAAAAGGGATTTTTTTTCACCTTAAAAATCTCGAATTCAAGCATCTTCTCTTTGATTTTACCTCCTGTTCTTCCAGCTCAATTCATCTGGTACCATCACTGCAGAAATTCTTCAAATCTGCTGACTGTCAAGTTACTGACCCAACTTTACACATCTATCACCCCATCTTTATGCCTCTTTTAATTCAGCCTAGTTTCCATGATCCATCATTGTAATCTTTCCCTTGCAATCATCCCAACTCCCTCAGAGTTCCCCCCATAGTAAAATATAGTCAAAGGATTGCCTGGGCTTGCTATCTCTACTTCTTTACCTTCCTACTCAAACACTCATTCACTTTGGAATACTCCCAATCTACTTTCCATCCCTCACACTACCACCACCTTAGCTCAACTTTCCCCAGAACTCTGTTCTTAACAAACTTACTAATAGTCTCTACATTGCCAAATCCAATGGATCTCTCTCTATTTACACTATGAATACTATTAAATGCTTCATCCTTCTTAAAAGACCACACTCTTTGGTTTGTCTTCTATCCTTCTGGCTAGTCTTCCTCAGTCTCCTTCAATGATGCCTCCTTTTCTCCTGCCTCCTGAACATTGGTAAACCATGGAACTGCTTCCAACTCTGAACTTTGAGCTTATGTTTAAGCAACAGATTTAGACGCCCAACTGCCTCCTTGATACTTCGCCTTGGATAGCATCCCAACCCTAACTAAAGGCCATCATGGATCTCTTGGTTCACCCTCACACCATAACCACGGCAGCTCAACTTTCCCCATCACAGTAAATAACTCCACTATCGTGCCTGTCACTGAAAGCAAAGTCCTAGGTGTCATCTTTGATTCCTCTGCCATCTTTCACTTCCCACTTCCAACCAGAAAATCCTGTGGGTTCTTCTTCCAAAATACGCTATCCAACTTATCTGTGCTGTTCCATTTCCACGGTCACACCTCAGTCCAAGCTGCCATCATCTGTCACTTTCTAAGGGTCAGCATTCTAAGTGTCTCCTCCTTCTACTCTTGCCTCCCTAAAATCCATTTCTATCCATCAGTCATAGTGATTTGTTCAAAACTAATGTCTGTCCCTTGCTTTACCATTGCTACAACAATAAAAGCCCAAATTTTTGACAGAAGGCTACAGTCCATATATTGATGATTTAGCTTGTGTCTGATTTCCATCTTCATACAACTTCACTCATCTCACAGTCTTGTCCTTCTCTCTTGACACAAATCTCTCTTGCTCCAGGGCTTTTACACTAGTTATTTCTGCCTGCAATGCTTGCCTCTTGACTTTTAAATAGTCTATATCCTTCCATCTTCAGGTTTTAGTGTAAAAGTCACCCCTTCAGAAAGGTATCCCTTTGGCCAAACTATTCAAACAGGTTCCCTTTCAGTTGCTTTCTATCATGGTGGTGGTTATGCTGTGGAGTTGATTCCGACTCATAGCAACCTTGTACAGGGTTTCCAGGGCTGTAACTCTTTATGGGAGCAGAAAGCTTCATCTTTCTCCTGTGGAACAGCTGGTCGTTTCGAACTGCTGACCTTGAGGTTCACAG